ATTTTTAATTATATTTTTAATTATATTTTTAATTATATTTTTAATTATATTTTTAATTATATTTTTAATTATATTTTAATTATATTTTAATTATATTTTAATTATACATTTGATTTTTATAATATTTAATTAAATTTAATAATATTCATTTTTTAGGAGACGAATAATTGGATTTTACATTTGATGGTCCTGTTCCTCATCATATCACTGATATATTATCCGATATTACATATTATGTGTATATGGCACGAAAAACTTCCATTCCGGTATAATATTTTCGAAGTCTGTGTATTATTTTATACATTAAATTTTTATTTTTTATTATTTATTAATTTGATTTTCATTCTTTTATTTCTTTTATTATTGTTATTATTATTATTAATTTTTCTTAGGTACTTCGTCAATACGTAAGAACAAAATATGAACCAAATGAATATCCATCTTCATTACAAAGATTAATTGAATGGACACCTGATGAATGTATTCCGGAATTTTATACAGGTTTTATATTATTATTTTATTTATTGAGTTATTTGTGTGGAATTATTCAGTTTTATTCAAAATAATTAATAAATAATAATTAATAATAATAATAATAATAAATAATAATAGATAATAATAAATAATAATTAAATAATAATAAATAATAATAGTAAATATTTATTCTTAAAATATTTAGATCAAATCATTGTCATATCAATACATCCAGATATGCCAGATTTACAATTACCATCGTACGTGTTAGTTATTTTTATTGAATTTATTATTTATTTTATTTTATTTATTTAATTTAATTTAATTTAATTTAATTTGATTTATTCTAAATTCCGTGTAAATTAGATGGGCTTCATCTGCTTTAGAATTTATAAGATTTATGCTGAAGCATTGGAAAGTGATTATGTTTCAAGTAATTTACATTTATGGATAGATCTTACTTTTGGATGTAAATTTTGGTAATTTATATTATTTATATTATTTATTTATTTTATTCATTATTTATTTTATTTATATTTTTTTTTTTGTATTATTTAATTGTTTAATATTATTTTTATATTATTTAATTATTTAATATTATTTAATATTATTAATTGGTATTCTTAGGTGTTGATGCTGATGAGGCAAAAATGTTGCTTTACCTCTTTCATGAAACATGGAATTACACAATTATTTTCTGATCAACATCCTCAAAAAATAATAAAGCAAAGACTACGACATGAAAAGTAAATATATATACTTGATTAACTTGATTTGTTTTTTTTAATTTACATTTTTTTAATTTACATTTTTAATTAATTTATATTTAATATCTAGTGCACAAAAAATGATGAATGGTAAAACATCAATACTAGAAAAATATGAATATATTGCCTGGAAAAGGTGAATGCCTTCAAAATTATTAGATGCTGATAAATAGCATCTTAATTATTAGCAGAAGTTGTTAATGATTTAATTATTGGATCAGAAAAAACTATAGGAAAATATCAAACAGTAATTTCTCGTACAAAGTCACCTTGATTAGCTCCAATCACTTCACTTTAACTACCTCCAACAATAACACTAATACTCGTCAATTATTATTGTATGATAATTTTTATGATGATAAAGAAAAACTTTTTTATTCTAGTTCCTCCCATTATCCTTCTCCTTCTTTTATAGCTAATATATCACATTCACAAACACCAACTATAGTTGATCCTAAAGATCATCTTTCTCGTATTGAAGCTTTATCAACATTAGTTAATTATTTAATATCATTTGGTAAATGTACAGGTAAAGAAGATTATATTATAGAACATTTAAATAATTTTGAACAAGCTTATACATTTTCAGCAAAATATCTTCCACCTCAATATAATAAAATTTCAAATAAAGTTATTGAACAATCAGGTGATCATTATCATCATCTTCAACAACAACATCTTCTTAAAAAAGAAAATTTCATCACTAAAGTTGGATCATTATCATCTTCTTTATCTATATCTATGGAGAATACTTTTGCTTATGGAAGATCTTGGGATACTTATTGTTTAGGTGAAATTATGAAAGTTATTTATTCAGTTTCAAATATTGATGCTGAATTATCATTGCTTTCCACACATACATCAGAATCACCATCATCGGAAGAAGAAACTAATCAAGCAGCTGACAAGTGTAAAGTAATTATTAATTACCTATTTACTATTAACTATTAAATTAACTATTTTATTAATTATTAATTAAAATTAACTATTTAATTAACCTAATTATTTATTAATTATTATATTATTTAACTATTAATTAATTAATTTATTTATACAAATGTTTTAAAAAAATAAAAGAAGTTAAAAAAAAAAAAAGTTTAAAAATTTAGTTCAATTAATTAATTTTTTTATAGTCACGACTCTCAATTCAAGGAATTCAAGGAATAGTATCTGCATTATGTATCCAAACGTCATTCTATTGATGCAATTATTTATTCATCTGTACCGGTAACGAGTTTACATGACGTCAATGCCACATTACCTTTACCCCTACATCTCCCTCTTCTATTGTTAATAATAATAATAATAATAATAATAATTTATCTATTTTGGAGAATGCATTGCCATCTGTTGCTCAATTAACAAATTCTGCGTTAGTGGAAATATGGTAAGTTTATCATATTTATCATAAATTGAAATTTTTTATATTATTTTTTATTATTTATTTTTATTAATAATATTATTATTATTACATATATATATATATATATGTAGTAAACTTGTTGAACCAATTCTAACCTCCAAACATATTATGAGGCTAATTTATAAAATATTACTTAAAGAAAGTACAACATTACCTTATCTAATGCAATCCATTCGTGCTATTGGTAAAGAATTTACTTAAATATTTATTTTGTTTTATTTTTATTTTAATTTATTTTTAATTTATTTTTAATTTATTTATTTTTTATTTATTTATTTTTTATTTTTATTAATTAATTATTTTATTATTATTAGGATATTGATTTGGTAAAACATTTACCAATCTACAATTTAGTTAAGTAATTTCTGTAAAACAACAATATAATAAATGAAATGAGTAAAAGAAATTATTCTATATTGTGTAATCATTTATTTTTATTAGAAAAGGTAAAGTTGATAATGATCCTATTTTTTAATATAACTTTTTTTTTATATTATTTCTATTCAACTCACTTTTATTATTATCATTAATTCTTCTTTTAAAAAAAAAATAATAATTAATAATAACGGCTCACAATATTAATGCCAAATAGTAAAGTATTATCAGAAATAGATTCAATATTTTCAGATACTTTAATAAAACTCCTTGTTCAATTTAATAAATAATAATAATAATAATAATAATACAAATAATAATTCAAAAATAATAATGCAAATAAGAAAGGACTTTCAAATTCAACAATACAAATAATAAAAAATAGGTTTAATGTTAGTGTTAAATCTATGGAATTCTTATTACATGTTTGTAATAGTGCTAATAAATCTGATTGGGAGAAACATGCAAGTTTTTTTTTAATTTTTTATCTCTTTATTTTTTATATTATATTATTTTATTATTAAATTAGAATATGCATTTGTTAAATTAATAATTTATAAAGCTCCTATATTACAAAAATATTTTGAGTCTTGTGGAAAATCTCTGGAAATTTTAGGTTTAGAAGAAAGTGAACGACTCAAATTGGAGAACAACAGGTAAAAATATAATGAATAAAAAAAAAATGAAATTTATTTAATCTAGGAATTATTCAATACTAATATATATATATATTATATTAATTTTTTTTTAGATTATGTATGCACACTCCCAATTTTGTATTTTGTTTGATCAAGAAAGTGTGCGACAAGCCATTTCTAGTAGGTTTGTATTTTTTAATATGAATAATTTTTGAATGATTTTGAATATATAAATTGAATAATTTTGATAATTTATTAATTAGTGAAGCTGTAGAACAAGCAATGAATGGGACGCACGTTCCAAGTGAAATAACAACATTATAACCAGTTTCACCAGTTTCATCTTTATCATCACTTTTATATTCAATTAATAATAACAACAATATTAATAATAACAATAGTATTAATAGTAATAGTATTAGTAGTAATAGTAGATCACCAGGAAAACATCATTTATCATCAAATACATTAAATACCACAACAATCCATCTACCACAGCATCAACTATAACATCTACCACTTCAACAAATTTTAATGTGAATAGATATTAATCATCCGATCAGAAATTCAAATACGAGTTCTATAGTTCTATAAAAATGTTCCTTTTTCACCTTCAAATTCTTCATCTAAAAAGTTGGTTTTCTTATTATTACTCTTTTTATTTTATTAAGATTTTTTTTTTTTTAAAAAAAAATATTTTCTATCCTCATCAAAGATTAGAGATTAAAATTAAATTATGAATTATAATACTTTATTTATGATAATAATAGGTCAAAATTAAAGGAACTCCTTATGAAGATTTACAGTAAGTTTAAGGATTATCATTTATTCATTTCATTTCATTTATTCATTTCATTTATTTATTTATTATTTTTATTATTTTAAGTATTCATTAACTTTAACATATATATTTATTTATTTATTTAACAATTTATTTTTGAAAATTTTCTAGAAATTGGAATAGATTTTTATCCACAAATTCAGGTAATTTTAAATTTTAAATTTTTATAATATACATATATTATTATTTATTATTTATTATATTATATTTGAATAATTTTGGAAATATATTCATATATTTTCTAGAGGAAATGGCAATTCTTTACAATTTACTTTTAATGATTTGAAATTAAGGACATTTTCAGGTAAATAAATAACAATATAATAACAATAATAAAAACAACAATAATGATGATGATAATAATAATAATAATATCTATAAATTACAAGACATTCATCAGCTGTTCGATCCTTGGACATAAGTGAACATAAACGATTACTAACTACGGGTCAAGAGATCGTACGGTTAAATTATGGTCATTAAATATACATTATAGAATAGAAATTTAGATAGTGAACCATTTTCTGAATGCCTCGGAACATATGGAGAACATAGAAAATCTACCGTAACTGATATTCATTTTATTAGTGGTGATGCTATTTTTAGTAATGATGGAGCAATTCATGTTTGTATTTCTTGTTATTTTTTTATTTGTTATTTACTTATTTATATATTTATTTATATATTTATTTATATATTTATTTATATATTTGTTTATATATTATTTATTTATATATTATTTATTTTATATATTATTTATATATTTTCATGTATTTTTTTTTATATATGTATGATAGATTTGGGATCAAGAGATATTTAAAAAATTGTATTATTCTGGAAATTCAAAACCATTTTTATCAATGAAACCAATCTTCAGGTCACGGTGTCTTCTTCTTGGAGGCTTATCAGATACCTCTATCACATTTCTAGATTCTATTTCATATAAAACACTTTCATGGAAATCTTGTCCTGCACCTTCCGGTACATTCTCAATTTATATTTTCCTCAATTTACATCGATTTCAGTATTTATTCTTATGCACATTATCACAATTAAATTTTATTAAGCGTGATACGAACTTTAGCAGTAAATCCTGCTGAAACATTGATTGCAGTTGGATTTTCTAGTGGATCAATTTCATTGTTTGAATCAAGAACTGGGAAAATTGGAAAACTGGTGGTACTGATATCATAGCCAATTTAAAGAATTGACTGACAATTTGTTACGCAAGACTTTTCGTCTAATCTCAGTTTATAAAATGTAATGTCTAGATAATACACTTTTAACTGCCAATAGAATTAGAGATGGGTTTTGTGATCAGGTGACAGATTAGACTTCTATTTAATAAGTTGTTTAGTTGAATAATCTACATAACAATGTATTGTAAAAAAACATTATGATATGAAAATTTAGAGTCGAATACTTTTACTTAAGCACCAATCGTGGTTAACATAATAAAATATTGAAGATATAAAGGATTTTGATACTTTCTTCAAAATATATATTCCAATCACAACGCGCAGATCTTTAATTTGCTATATGTCATTCATGTACAGTGGGTGATCAAAAATCACCGGACAGTTGAAAATTTTTAAAAAAATTACTAAAATTAAAATGCTAATTGT